GAGAGAGAGAGAGAGAGAGAGAGAGAGAGAGAGAGAGAGAGAGAGAGAGAGAGAATTAGATCAGTTGGTAGCATTACACGTCTATCTGCTCAAGCGCTGGGAACTTGAAGAAAGAATCGACAAACAGAAAAAGTGATACGACACAAGTTACAGTGCATGTGTGGCAGAGAGAGTTGAACAAAGTCAGCACCATGCATCAAGCCGCTCTTGTCCTCAATGACATCTCAACATTACACACAGAGAGACGGATAGAACAGGCAAGTCATCGTACAGAGAAGAAGGAAAAAACATCTCAGGAGACGAGCAGCACGTCGGCAACCGAGCCGTTCCCTGTCGCTAGACAAACGATTCTCGTCATGTCGCCATCAAACGACAATCGAGATCACACACAGAGAAAAGGGTCCAACAAGCCGCCCCGTGTCCTCACCATCAAGCCGCTCGTGTCCTCATCTCAACATCAGATCACACACAGAGAGAAGGATCCAACATGAGACACAGAAGGATTCACTGGGTAAGATCATCGTGACACAGAAGAAGAGAACACATCTCAGCAGACGGGCAGCACGTTGCCAGGCCATCCCTTTCCCCCTGCAAACAATTCCTCTACCAGCTGGTTTCTCGGCCCTCCTCCGTCCCCCCTCCCCCTCCTCGTCAACATTAATCAGGGGTTCATCTACCCCACACAGTCGGTGCCGACTTGCTGCTCACCTTTTCCTCTGAGCAGAGCAGACGGGCACGAGTCCTGGAACCACTGGCACAGTCAATCTCTCCGTCCTCAGCTCGAATGCCTCGCAGCGGTGTGAATGAATCAAAGACTGACTCAGAGTGAGAAGGCCCTCGAACTCCTGAATCCTGATCGCTTGATTTGCTTGTGAGGAGCTGCCTCTGCCTGGCTATTTATACTTGTCATGTCCCTTACAGTGTGAGGGAGGACGATGTGCTTTGGTCTCTTTTTTCCCGTTCTGGCCTGTGAAGAATTTCTCCGAGATGGTGAAGGCCCTGAAGGGCCTGAAGGCAATGCCCCCCCTGCAGTGTTATGTGGGTGCCACGTGGTGAGCGGATGCATTCGCCAGACATTGTGCTGACATAGAACGGCACTGTTGTGACTGTCCTCGGCAGACTGGAAGACTTTCCTTTCTTTTTTTTGCTTTTTTCTCTTCAGGATGTATAGTAGGGCGTAGTAAGTACCACGTTCCCAAAAAAAAAGGAAAAAAAAGAAGAAGTAAGACTTTCCTTGCATGAATCAGCATGATGGGCCAAAGGGTACCACGTCGGCCGAAAACCCCCAGAGGCAACCGTCCACAACTGTTACACCCCAACAGCCTCAAAATTGGGAAGGGGCCAGACTCGATCACATGATACCAGCTGACATAGCACCAGGGGGGAAGGTCCAGCGGGACCTCCACGCCGAGTCCACGGGGATTCTGAAACTCCGGCCAGCAACTACGGCCGCGTGGAGTTTCAAGGAGGCAAAAAAACACAAAATGGCAGTTTTGTCCAAGAGCCTCAAGAGGCAGTATGGAATGGGTAGAAAACCTGGGTGCGTAACTGACTTGCCGCGCACCTTTGGCAAATTGGGGATGTACAAACAGTTATGCCAGTGGTGGCTTAATTCCTCTCATCCCAGGGCCTCCCCAACACAAACACTTAATGCTGACTCATTTCTGAGTCTCTTTTTAAAGTTTTTCCATTCTTTTTTTCCTTCTGCTTTTCATTTTTTAACTTCAGGACCCCGTGGTGAGTCTCTTTTGTTTTCTTCTTTTCTTTCTTTTTTTCTCCCAACGGACCACAGATCAGATATTAAACTGATCAGACGACTCAGAACAGATATCATACTACACTTGATCTTACTGGATGCGGGAAAGTTGCATGCTGGAAAACATTCAAAGTTTTGAACAGGTCAGCAGAGCTGTAACATAGCTGAGGGCATGGCGAATACGCCGAATAGGTCTTCCAGGATGACAACGAAGGATGCACCTCCACGCAGACTGAGGGGCTGGCCACACCACTGGTCGTCCACTGTCCAAAGAGCCTTTTTTCTTCAACTGTTACAGTTGTCAGAAAAAAGTTGGACAGCCAAAAAAAGCGCCTTTCTACTGTTTCTGTGCCGTAAGAGGGCCTCGCCACACCACTGTAGAAACCAAAAGAGAACGAATGCATCTCTGCTGCATAGATATAGATTGCCATTATGGGCAGTAAAGGACGCATGTTGTTGCCCTTCTCCGCGAGAAGATGCATTGAATTCCGTTCCTTTTAAGATCAGAGTGCGGTGTGTTTTTTTGCCTTTGTCTGACAGAGAACATGTCCATAGCTGATGGCCTAGTTGCTCTACTGGCCATCGGTGGGTGGAGAGTGAAAAAAAAGAGAATACTGTAGAACTGTAGGCCTAGTTGCATTTAGGGCCTCGCTGCACTACTCGCCATCAGTCACAATTCCTGGCGGATGTGGGGAGTGAAAAAAATGAAAGGCCTGGTTGCACTTACTCGCCACTATATTTCTTCTACAGAAAAGTTAAAAAACATTGTCTACCTGATGTCTACTCGTGAAGCGGTGCACCCTCCAGAAGGTTGTTTTGTGGAGAGGTCCCAGGACCACCACCCTCCACAGCCCGCCGTGCACAGACGGGGAAACCGAAAACACTCACCACGCCACAACTTGTGTCTACAGTGTGGTGAGCAGTCCGACATATTTTTCATTCGCCAAGTTTGGCGAGTAAGTGCAACCAGGCGCCTACTGGCCAAACTTGGCGTATGGCGACGAGTGCAACCAGGCCCTGTCAGTGAGTGGTAGAAGTCCCACTATGGTTATGCCCTCCTCAGTGGTGGCACTGTTTGGCTCGGAGAACTCGGACCCAGGCCGGTTTCATTCCAAGGGGGTGCCAGGCTCTGTAGGCGGTGGAGTCTGTGGAGATGGTCTGCCAGAGGTGTAAGGAAAGAGATAGTGGAGACTTCTCTCCCGTGGTGTGGGACTCACTCCTGTCCAAGGAATCTGTTTTTTTTTTCGAGTCCTATCCATTCGCGGGGAGCAGCACGCGCTGGGAACCGGGACCAGTGTCCCTTATGGAATTATAATGAGAGCCATTTCAGAAGACGTTCAGGAAGCTGAAGGCTGCCAGCGTGGACGAGCCCTGAGGACAGGGGGGTTGAACCTGGCATGGGTGGGCAAGGCATTGGACAAAAAAGCAAAATTGGGGATGAAATTCAATTCACTTTGGGAGCAGAAAATGTACTAGTACACGGTTTTGCTGAGCCGAAAATGATTTTGGCTGAAGAAGTCAAGACTCGAGAGGTTTCGCCTGAATAAATATTAAAGAGGAGATGCAAAAATCAAAGAGCTTTTGTCGACGACTGGATTAACACAAAGATCACTGAAATATGGATAAGAAGAGACAATACCCCAGTAAGTTTTTTTTTTTTTTACGCAGAAGTCACAAAAATGAGTTATAATAATTGCGTTATCGCCCAGGATACAGTTTCGAAATGCAGTTTGGGCAATGCTTTTTTTTTTTTTTTTTTTTTTTTTTTTTTTTTTAAACACAACTTCAATTAAAAACCGTTTTTTTTAAACACAACTTCAATTAAAAACCGGGAAGCGGGCCCGGCGTCCCTTACATGAGGACCGCAGCAGTTCTGAGCAGAGAGAGGCACTTCCGGCCAAGCCCATCCCTCACCACAGTCACCCCAGCTTGAGACCCCAGCCCCCCTCATTATCATAGTTCCCAAGTTGTGAAAAAGGAAAGAAAGCTAAAAACCAAGAAACTCTGCGAAACTAAAACCAAAAGAATCACCATCCTATGACTACAGTCCTATACTCAGTAAGTATACAATATATCCGTCACTTATTTGATTGCTAAACACTATCCCACCTAGATTGACTACCCATTTGTACACTATCTGAATGAAAAACTTTTACAAAAAGAAATCAGAGAAGAACAATACAGGCAGGAGTCCATCCTGCAAGGTGACAGTACACAGACCATCAAAGGCTCCCCATCTAGTGTAGAACCATTTTAGGGATTTGGCAGTGTAGACTTTCTTCTGAACACGACGCTCCCATTCAGCGGATATTGCCAGTTTAATATTATATTTAACCGCTGCCCTGATCATAGGGGTAGTAGTATGTTCCCCCCTACGAACTGCAGAATTCCGAAAATTCCAGAAGGTGGTAAGAATGGCACCTCGAAGTGTCTCTTCTGCATGAGAATAACGGGTAGAAAGTGGAATCCGTCTGGAAGCTGTCCCTAGAAGTACAAACTGATCTTCCCACCGCGCCCGCACTTCTGGGATTGGAATGTTGGAGTATTGCCACCAATCCCAAAAAGGTCGAGTAAGGTCGCACTGCAGTACAAAATGTTGCACATCTTCCATCCGAGTCCCTGGACATATTTTACACAACGGTGTAGCTCTAACAGTCCTATGTGCACACCAAGTTGCCAGAGCTGGTGGGGTGAGAACGCCGAGCGACCTCTGATATACGGCCACCAGTTGGCCCAATACTACCAAGGTATAGGACAGGCCCCATACCGAGTCGAGGACGAGAGTGACGACGGAGGATGGGAGCGAGAGGGCGACGAGGACGTCTGGGGGCCGGACTGGGTTGACCCGGAGAATGAGATTGACTAGGAGGGGATTGACGTTACAGACGCCCATTTCCCCAGGATAGGAGTAGCAGTCCTGGCATAGGAGGTTGAGGAGCATATTAGGACGGCGGTTGAGTGAGCCTTGGCTACTGATATCAGCGAGTAGTGGAGAGTATGGCAGACCGGGATATACTGAGGGTGACTCTTTCCCTACGACGACATAGGACAAGAGGTTGGGAGGATGAAGCGTTAGGCAATGTAGAGCGACAGATCAGACTCAAGACGGAGCAGGCCCTGGAGATACGGAGAAGCCAGAGGTACGTCAAGTTCATTATCTATTACCATGGAGCCGACGGGAGAGTGCACAGCTCCTACTCAGCCATACTGGATCAGAGTGGGAGAGTTGTCTGAAGAGTCGGCAGCATCGAGAGATAGGGGGCGTCGGAGGGATTAGAGCAYTACAGATCGAGAGCAGGAGAGGAGATGAGAAGTGACTCGGTAGCCTGGTTAGCCTATGTKCTCTCACGAGAGTCCGAATCATATAATGTGAGAAAGCTTGTGGGACCTAGAGAGACGGCGATTGGATATGACATACCCCTTCCTGTGGCGTTGGAAGGGACGGAGCGAGTGCCTATACGACACCTGGGGATGTGGCTCGCAGAGGGGCTGTTCCTCTGGACGGTGATACTACGAGACGAACGACCCGAGATGACTCATGATCTAGAAGGGGTCGCACATCTGCTGGCCGACAGAGCGTACGATTTGGAGATAGGACTAACACTCGCAGGAGCGAGCACGAGTTGGTGGAAGCGCGAGTTATTGGTCAGAGCGATCGTTAATCAGCAAGTGGCGAGACGCTCTGGAGGCAGGACAAGTTGGAGTCACTTAGTATACGGTCCACCGCATCCAACCCTTTACCCGAGAGAGGTTTGTCGATTCGGGCTTCCTACCTTCGTGATAGGGCAGACCTATGGGAGCGTCAATCGTTTAAGCAGAGCAGTGGACCACACACTTTACGCGCTCTGGGAGGGCTTAGCGCCCCGTTTTAAGGAAGTATACTATGCTATTTGTGTGAGGTGGGGGCCGCCCAGTAAGGAGACGCTTAACGACATCTTAGACATTACCAACTGGGTGGACTGTCTGAGGCCGATCGATTTGGTTAGGTATTGCAGGAGACGGGCCGAGATCGATTACGAAGGGCTAGAGGAAGCGAGATTTCTCTTCGAGGCAGCAGCTTAAGGAATGCCGGGAAGGACGGCGATGGTGATGCGAGTAGAAGAGCAACTGGTAAGCGCAGGATACACTG